ACCTCGCCACCTCTCCCTGCTCGCTGGAACCGGTGTTAGGTCGGGCATGTCCTCCTACAGGCGACTTGGGAAGAAACTGAAGCATGACAAACAATAGCCATCAATAGTGCAAAGAGCACGAAACATCGTCAACTGACTAACTATGTTAACTATTCTTGAACATTCCTCGTGTACAGGGATCGGGAATCTGCTGACCTGGGTCAATACAGACCCGGGTCAGTCAGGCCTTGCAACATCCTGCAAGATCTTGCACCGAAACCCGGGTCAATGCGAAGGATCCTGCAAGATCCTGCAAGATCCTGCAGGATCCGGCGCCCAAGCCCAGGTCAGTGCGCCCCTGGCCCTGCAGGATCCTGCAAGATCGGGCGCTCTGGCTGACCCCCGCTTGCATTGACCCCCGTCTCAAGGCTCCCGAAGGGACATGTCCGACTTAAACCCGGTGCTGGGCTTGGGCGTGGCTTAATGGGGGGGTCACAAATGGGGGGGTCAGAAAAGGTTCCCTTTCGTGCCCCTTTCGGGCCCCTCCGGAGCCGCGGGGGGCTCGTTCAGGTACCGTTTGGGTACCTTTTCGGACCACACTCGCCGCCCCCCCATTTATGACCCCCCCATCACGCAGCGCACGATGGGCAGCCTCAGACCCCCAGCCGGCTGCAGGTGGCCCCTTCCGTTCCTCTCCCAGCCCCGCGGCTGCCGAGCAGGCCGCGGCCGCCTCTTTTTATACCCCCGCGCTCGCCCTCGCGCGTGGGCGCGGCCGCGGGGGAGCTGGTCCAGGGAGGGGGGTCGCCCCGCGTCTCGCCTTGGATGGCACGCGCACGAGGAGAGGGGGAGTGTCCAAAGCAACCGCACGTACCTTTCGGTCGGGCGTGTCCCCCTACAGGGGGATTTGGGGCGAAAAATGAAACGTATAAAAAATACTCCAGACGTGTTCACAAATAGTGGAACAATCGTCCCCAGACTATGTTTTTGCCATTTCTGCATATTCCCCCTGCAGGCTGGACGGGCCCGACTCAAAAACGCACGTGGAATCGGCGGCGAGCCCGTGGGAAGTCCGAGGGGGCTGGCCTTCTCGGAGGGCGCTCGGGCGGCCCCTGGGGGCCTTCTGCAAACATTCTCTCTCCCTCTGCCCTCTCTCCGAGGCGGCCTCGCAGAATAGAAGTCAAACACATCCACCCCTATAATAACCACCCCTGCACGCGAAGTCGTTTGGTCAACGCACCCAAAGAAGGAATCGAGCAGGGCAGGGCTGTTTAGTAAACGCCCAGGGCCATTTAGTAAACGCCGATTGTCCGGTCTGTGTTTGTTCCTCCCTTGACAGAAGGTCGGGGGGCTTCTGAGAAGCCCCGCCGCCTTCCGAGCAGGCCTGCCCCGTCGCCCTCCGAGGAGGCCCGCCCCCTCTCACTTTCTTCCCCCCCCCCCCCACGGGCGGCGCGCCGCCTAGGAAGCACCCTCTCACATCAGGAGGCGGCTCCTGGGCGGTCCTCGTGCCCGGGAGGTCCTCGTGCGAACGATTCGGAGCCGTGAAGCCCGATTACGGGGGGAAGGGGGTCGCTGCGCCAGACATCAACCCTGATGAAATCTGTAAGCATGCCGGATTGAGCCGGATTGAGCGGCATGATGCCGGTGTTCGACCACAAATCTGACAAGACAGCGCCGATACCGAATTTCATCTCCCAAGAGTTGCATCCGCAAGGGTCCCACACAACCGTGTGCAGAAGGCCCCTACGCACTACCTCCGTGCCAGGGCCGTCATGGGCCCTGGTCCCCAGGAGTGTGTATAGACCCTGCTGGCATCGGCCAGTAGGACGTACATACACACCATTCCACTGGTCCTAGAGTAACGATGGGGAAGAAACACAAACAACGAATACGTAGGCATAAACTTTCACAGGCCAGCGAGGAGGTCCGCGCGGATTCCGTGGATTGGCGCTGGCGCGCGAAGCGCACCAAGGGAGGCGCCGAGAGGGGGGCTCCAACAACGATCCAAGAACTCCGCGAGGACCTCCGAATTTATGTCTAACTATGCAGTTCTTGCTATAGGGGGACGGAAACATAGAGGCGTCCCAGATGGGGTCCGAGTAGATGGGGTCGGAGGAGCGCGCTGCACCGCCAACGCATCGCCGATGCACTGACGACGTCGCCGATGCAGCGGCGGCGTCGGCGTGGAGAACATGAGCTCCACATCGAGCCGCATCGGGGATGCATCGGCGATGCGGTGCAATCCTCCCACCCCATCTGGGAGGCCCCGGCAAGAAAGCAGGACGTCTGGGAGGGAGCGATGGAGGCTCCCCCTCTCCGCAGCGGCACCAGCCTGCTGCGATCCGCTCCGGGGGGCAGCGACCCGCCTGAGACGTCTCCGAGCACGCGCCCCGCCAGCCGGGCGCAGGGAGCGGGAGAGGGAGCACACTCGCGGCCCGCCCACGCCGCGCCGGCGCGGGCTACGACGGCGCCAGGACGGGGACCGACTTGGACTGGGACACCTCGGGGACCTCCGACGTCTGGCGATGCTGGAGGCTGTAGCGGGCGCCGCGGCCGTTCCAGAGCGTTCCGGGACGCCCTGGGAGTGTCCCTCGACCCTCTGGGTCTACCCCGGCCCTATCGCCCAGCTCGACGGGCGCTGGCTTCTGACCTCGCGCGGGTCGTTCTGCAGCCCCGCGCGGCTTCCGCTGACCGACAGCGGGGATCGTTCAAGACTGGCCCAACTCGGGAGCCGACTGTTTCGAAAACCGTTCGCGACAACGCGTGTTGCCGGCCGCCGCCACATCCCTCCGGGTAGTATCACGCCTCGCGCCTCGCAGGCCCCCCGTGGCGTTACTGGCCTCCCAGACTCCTCGCGTCGAGAACAATCAGAACGAGAGTGTTTGTTTTGTTGGCAAATTTCTGAAGACAAATTATAATTGCTCCCCCCTCCCTAGTAACATACGTGTGTATCTATTACTATTGCGCCTCAGAGTGCGCCCCTGGTCCCCGGTTTACAACAGCGGCGGCTTTCGCCTGATATTTTTCAACACTTGATTCACAGCCGCGCTCTGGCGCGGGACTTCCTCACAATTCACCCAGGAATCGCACTCTCGTGTGGGACTGCCTCGCAGTCTATTGAGCCGCCGTGCCTTCGACACTCAGAAATCACGTTCTCGCTTTGGACCGCGGCACGATCTACTTAGGAATCTCGCTATCGCTGGAGTTCCTCGCGGTTCATGCGGGACCGACGCTTCAACAGCCCGCCACCTCGACCCGGCCGTCTGGGCCCGCTCGCCTGACCTGCCGGTCAGGGTCCGCCTGCCCGACCCGCCCGTCTGGTTCTGCCGCCGGTTTTCCTGCTCCTGTTCCTCTCCCCTGGGGGAAAATATACCCCAAAGGGGCACGAGCAAAGACGAAGAGGGCGGGTATCGAGGATCTGGGATACACATGTTGAGTTGCACGCGGGCAGATCGTAGCGAACAATCTTCAACTGATTGTTGCTGATGCTGTTTTGGGGGGACCTTTTGGGGCCCTCGCCTGGTGCCAGGACCGCAACACGACTCAGGACGTGAAGCTGGCCCCTTGGAGCAGGCCCGGACCTCTGGGGGGCCTGCGTCGTGCACGCAGCTCGACCTCGGGTACCGGGGGGCTGCGGCTCGCTGGCCGAGCTCCCCCGATCGGTGCGCCCCTCGACGGCTCTGACCCTGGGGAAGTCCCCCACGCCGACGTCGACGATGCTGGAGGAGGAGGAACACGAACGAGGAGGCGGGCATCGACGAGGAGGAGGAGGGGGGCCAGAGTGAGCCCAGGAAATACGGTCGGACCTAGAGCAGAAGAACATCCTCCAAGAGCGTGAGACCCCCCGCCGGCCCACACACCCCAAACCCATGCGATCGGTCGAGGGTGCCCTCCCCCGGGATGCGCAAGAGCATCCAGCAGGCACGAAGACAATTTGTGTACCCTCCCCGAAGCGACCTCGATCCCCACGCTCTCCCACTTCGCATCCTCCGCATGCGCTCCCTCCATCTCTTTCTCTTCCTCCTTGCCCTCCTTGCCCTCCTTGTCCTCCTTGTCCTCCTTGTCCTCCTTGTCCTCCTTGTCCTCCTTGTCCTCCTCCTCCTATTCCTCCTCCTCCTTCTCCTCCTCCTCCTCCCCCCTCCCTCAATGTCGTCGCTGTGGGCTGGGGTGGGGGGGGGGGCGGGGGGAAGGTGCGGGTGTGCTCCCGCTCGCACCCCCCCAAACGCAGGAGCACCGAATTGCAGCGGGTGCGACGACCCAGACCTCCCGCGGCTCGAGCAGACGTCGCGACCGAGCCCTGTCACGCTCTCGCCTTCCCGAGGCTGCGTCTGGGCCCCGGCCCCCGGGTCACACTGGCCATCGCTCGGACGTCCATTCCGTGTGTTTTTTTCGGTTTCGTGCGTGGTTGTTTCGCCAAATGATCAGGGATGCTCCTCGATGGTCCTCGCCGAAGGGAAAAAATGCACACGTCCGAGCGATGCCAGGCACGGAGCTGGACGAGGACGCAGACTGCGCGAGCCATGGCCCTCGGAGGTCCGCGCGGAGCTCCGAGAGCTTTTCTGCTCGGGCAGCTGCCTCTCCCTGCCCTCTCTGGGCACGAACAGCTCGCCCTCTCTGTGAACACAGTCGGGGCGTTGACCTAAGGCACCCTAAATAAGGAACGGGGCCCCTTTGTTCCATAAGTTGACCTTCGATTTCCGATCGAAAACACAAGGACAACCTGAGGCAAGCTGTGAAACACTCAAGGAACGCGGAGCCCTCCCCAACGAAAAGGGTTCCTTCTTCAGGGCCCCGACTGTAGGAGGAGAAAGAACGCCACAAACAGATACTTCTGGCGCTCCGCACGGATTTCTTGGACCTGCGCTGGGCCCCCCTCCCTGGCGCGGGGCGGCGCCGCCAGGGGGGGACCAGCGCGGATCTAAGAACTCCGCGCGGAGGGCCAACAGTTTATGTTTATGGCGTTTTTTCTTCCTCGATCTGCGTCGGACAGCTCGACCTCTCTGTGAAGGGGCCGGGGGTGGCGCTCACGGACGGGAGCCAAACTGATGGGCCGATTTTTCCACCACCACTACCACAGGTAGAAGAGGGAGGAGCAGGAGGAGGAGCAGGAGGAGGAGGAGGAGGAGGAGGAGGAGGAGGAGGAGGAGGGTAGTGGCGGTGGAAAGCTTGCCCACCAGACGAAACATCGGCCCGCCGGAGGTCTGGGGGGAGGGGCGGGCCACTGCCGTGCTCTCCGCTCGCGCGCCGCGCGGCGAATTTGGAAGGGGCGGGGGGGAGCTCCCGACAGCTCAACGACGCGTCTCCGATCGACCCGCGCGGATCGGGCCGGGCAGGTCGAAGCACGGTCGGAGTGGAGACCCTTCCGAGGGCCGCGATGCGACAGGCATGTAGGAAGGCATGGGTCGCGACGCTCAGGACACCAGGGTACCCTCGATTTGGCAGGGTCGACCTGTGTCGACTGCAAGCCCAGAGAAGCCTGTGCGGGAACGATTCGCCCAGATCTGGTGAGGACTCGCCGCGGATCCGCACCACTGCGAGGTGCTTTGGGAGATCTCCATGCCTGGATGGGGAAGCCAGGAGCAAACATTTTGGGCGCTCCAGCGCAGGTCGAGCGAGACCAGACATCGTTGAGCCCTTAACGAAGGAGAGAAAGACACCAGTCCTGATCAGAACCACCCGCTCCTGCTGCCACAGGCATCGGGGGATCTCCTCGCTGGGGGCGGCCTTGGACCATGCTGCATCTTCGGGGGACCTCGCCTGTCCAATCTCATCGCTGTTCGCATTAAATCCACGTCTCCACGTCGAAACCGCATCGGACCCATGTCGGATCCGCTTCGAATCCGCGTTGAACCCATGTCGGCCACCAAAAAAGAATCGCCACTTACAAGACAAACGAATCCCTCTGAAATTGCAACGTAAACTTGGGGTCTGCGCTGGACAGGCAGGGACAAAACCGGCACACAATGCACATGCGGCGGCACGGAGGTGAGAGGTGAACGGAGGGAGATCTGTATACATTGAACTCATGCCGCGATGATGTCGGCACTGGTTTCTGAAACCGTATGGATCGCTCATCCTTGAGCCATCGCACTTTCCGATAGCGCGCATCGCTCGATGTCGTCTGCTTTCCAAGCCACTGGCGGCATTCAACCTCGAACGACCGCGCTGGGTTCGCCAGTGCGTCAACGCAGCGCGAACCTGCTGTGCTCAGTCCTCGCTCTTGTCACTGCTGGCTGGAACCAGTGACTGGGCGCATCGGCCCCAGAGCCATCCTCCATAATCCATAACCACAGAGGCAAAGTAGGACTGCGCGTGTGCCGATTCCCTCAACTTAATTCGAGCCTGACTAGAACGTCATCGCCAACAGAGAAGGGCCCCGTGCCAGCGAGCGCAAACATCTGGACGGCGCTGGTCTCGCAAGGGCCCTTGATTCGGCAACAGTCTACCATGCAGGAGGAGCGAGATAACAAGCGTCGGGATGGGCAAAAAGAGGGAGCGGGAGAAAACGGGAATGCCGGAGAGGACGAATCGGGGCGGGCAAGGCGCCATCAGGCTCCAGCGCGCCGAAGAAATTGGAGGTCAGGAGGGAGCGATAGAGCGTCACGTGCACGACGAACAACAACGGGTCTTACGCGCGACGGCACACCGACCTTACGCCACGGCTTGGGCGGGCAACCGGCGTGGCAAACCGCGTGGAAAGGGGTACCCACGCGCGACCTGATGCGGGCAACTCGCGCGCGAATATCCGCGCAGTCGAACCCGTCGCCTTGCGTCGCACGCTGCATCCTGCCCTATGGGGCACGCGGCCGCCCCAGGTCGGCCATCGAGCACGCGCTCGCCCCAGGTCGGCCACCGAGCACGCGCTCGCCCCAGGTCGGCCACCTGAGCGGGCGCGCTCTCGCGCCCCGATCGGGCAGTCCGAGCACGCGGGCGCCCATATATTGGCAGTCTAAGTTTTGGGTCGGGCATGTCCCCCATGCAGGCGGATTTCGGACAAGAATAAAGAATAATAAAGAAATGCTCAAAAACAGCCAAGAATGGTAGAAAAACCGTCCCCTGCCTATTTTTTGACTATTTTTGAGTAGTTCTCCGTGAAGGGACAGGCCCGACGTAAGCCTAAAAATGCGCGCGCCCCCCCGATCGGCAGCCTGAGCACGCGAACCCGGCCTGCTCCTCCGACGCCTCCGCTACACCGCCTCCGCAGAGGGCGACACGCACGGCGCCGCACGGCGCTACTGCAATCATGCCAGGGCGTCAACTCCCCGACCTCCCCCCGGAGGCGAGCTGGGCCGGCCGACCACCCTCACTTGAGGGGCAACGATGGGGGGGCTGGCACAGGGGGGGGACGCATCGACCTGGAATCGGCGACACATCGCCGATAGATCGGCGACGGGCCTCCGATAGGGAACCCGCGCCTTCCTGGGCAGGCTGGGGCTATCGGGCCCCTGTCGGCGATCCATGGGCGCTTGGGGGTCGATGCAGCACCCCCTGTGCTCATCCTCCCCATGTCGTTGCCCCCGAGAGCATCCTCACTTCATCGGCACCCAGCCGCCCTCCGCCGCGGGGTCCGGCGCGCCCGACGGCCAAGGGGCCGCGGCGGGGTCCGCGGGGTCCGGCCGGAGGATGCTGGCGACCTCGTCCAGGGCCTGGCGGTGCTTCGCAGGCCGCCGCCGCCACAGGCGGCCGTCCTCCCACACGACGGCGCCCTCGCCGGCCCGGCGCCAGTAGCCCGTGAGCAGCCCGGGGCCGTCCTTGCCCCCGCCGAAGTCCACGCGGGCGACGCCGCCCCGGAAGGTGGCGTTGAGCAGGCGCCCCTTGCAGCCGGCCCCCGAGCCCCGCACCAGGCCCTGGAAGCCGTCGATGACGCCCTCGCCGCGGCTCCGCTTGAAGCGCGACGGCGCCACCGTCCACACGCAGGAGCCGACGAAGGAGTCCTGGAAGCTGGCCATGAACTCTCCTGCGTCGACGCATCCCTCGAAGGAGGCGGGGTCTGCAAGCGCGTTGGAGGTCCACAGGGCCTCCAGCCAGCAACTGGACTTCTTCCGGTAGCGCCGCTGGTTCCCCGCGGTGGGCGTCTCGGCCCTTTCGTCCGCCTCGTCCGAGATCCACGGGGAGTCGGCGTCCCACCCGAACCTGAAGTCCGTGTAGGTGACGCCGAAGCGCTCCGTGTAGCCCTTGGCCCACTCGAAGTTGTCCATCAATGACCATCCGAAGTATCCGCGCACGTCCACGCCGTCCTCGTAGATCGCCCTGCGCAGCTCCGCGGTGTAGTTCGCGTAGTACATCATTCTCTGGGGGTCAGCGACGCCGTCTTTCGGAGAAGTGGTGGGCAACGACCAGCCGCCCTCCGTGACGTAGATGGCAGGGTGGCCGTAGCGGCGGTGTATGTGGTTGACCATCTTCCTGAAGCCCCAACCAGAGCCGTACAGCCAGTCGGATTGCGATTGCACGAAACCGTCGTGGGAGTCCTGCGTCCAGGACTGGTCCCAGGAGCTCGTGCTGTTGAGGTGGGAGGTCCAGCCCGTGCCGTAGTGGTTGAGACCGAAGAAGTCGGAGCTGCCGTTCACCAGGCGCTTCTGGTCCTCGGTGAACTCCGGAAGGCGGTCGCCCAACAGCCGCCGCATGGACTGCGGGTAGTCGCCCGCGCCGCCGAATATGGGGTCGGCGAACCACCCCAGCTGAAAGTCGACGGCGCGGGCGGCCGCCGCGACGTCCCAGGGGCTGTCCGAGGCTGGCTCGTGCCAGTCGCAGTTGTTCGTTATGCCTATCTTGCCGCCCTGCTTCTTCTGGTACTTGGCGCGGTACACGTCGACAGCGGAGGCGTGGGCGATGATCATGTTGTGAGCGGCGACGTATGGGTCCCTCGATTGGTTGCTGAACGCCTCTATGCTGGGGGCCATGCCCATGCCGGAGCCCAAAAAACTCGAGGTCCAAGCCTCGTTGAAAGTGAACCACATCTTCACCCGGTCCCCGAAGCGCTCGAAGCAAACGCTGACGTACGCCAACCAATCGTCCAAGATCTCGCCGTTCGGGCGGCCGTCGTCGTCTCGCGACCACCAGCCGTTCACGCGCGGCGGATCCAGCAGCCCCTGCGGCAGATCCCAGTGGTACAACGTGATCCACGGCGTGATACCAGCTTCGATCAAACCGTCCAGAAGGTTGCTGTAGAAGGCGATGCCGTCCTCGTTGATCCCGTCTGCCACCCGGCCCGTTGGCACGATGCGGGGCCAGGCGATGCTGAATCGGTAGTGCTTCAGACCCATGGACTTCATCAGCGCTATGTCAGACCGCCAAAGGTGGTAATGGTCGCAGGCCACGTTGCCGGTGGCGCCCTTTGCGGCCATCCCCTCGTTCACGGGGCACGGCGTCTCGGTGCAGCAATGGCCGCAATCCGCGCCCGGCATGCCGATGGTGTTCGCGCCAGTGAACGTGTCCCAAATGCTTGCGCCCCTGCCTCCGTCCCGGTACCCGCCCTCAATCTGGTAGGAGGCGGTGCCGAGCCCCCAAACGAAACCGTCGGGGAAGGAGCCAGAGTAAATGTACTCCGTAGGCCACTCCCCATGGCCGTACGGCTGGGGGTATTCTGGGCAGGCGTCGTATCCGAAGCAACTCGTGGTCGTGGAAACGGTCGACGTCGTCTCCGTCGCCGAGGTCCCCGTCACGGCCGTGCGCGTGGTCGTGCGCGTGTTCGTGGTCGTTGTGGTCGCTGCGGCCACGGTCCGATTTGTCGCGATCGCACTCTCGACCTCAGAACTGTCAAGGACCACGCCGGGAAATGACACGTTGCCGTCGAAATCCCCGTGCACGCCCATCGCCGAGAGGCCCTGCCACAGCCGCTTCACAATCCTGCGCTCCTTTTGGCGGCGCGCACAACGGGGTATAGGGGGAAGGGGGAAAGCTTCTTAGAAGGAGCCCGCTTCATAGAAGGCGCCGGCGTTACACCTATAGACAAGTCCCGCGCCTTCCGAGAAGCAGGGGGCGCTTCTAAGAAGTCTCCGTCCCTCCTCCTAGTCAGAGGAGGAGGAGGGGGAGGAGGAGGAGGAGGAGGAGGAGGAGGAGGAGGTGGAGGAGGAGGAGGAGAGGAGGAGAGGAACAGGAGGAGGATAAGGAGGAGCAGGAGGAGGAGGAGCAGGAGGAGGAGGAGGAGGAGGTAGGATGAGGACGAGGAGGAGGAGGAAGACGAGGAGGAAGGGGAGGAGGAGGAGGAGAAGGAGGAGGGGAGAAAGAGGAGGAGGAGGAGGAGGAGGAGGAGGAGGAGGTTGGGGAGGAGGAAGAGGAGGAGGACGAGGATGCACCACCATGCCGAAAACGAGTGCGCAGAGCAGCAACGCAGACGGATAACGAGCAGGACAACTGACGAGCACGCGCAACTCAACGGGAACAGAACATAACCAAAGGAAACGAATTCACTACGACGAAACCCAAAGCAGGCATCGCCCGTAGAAAAAAATGGACGGGGGTCCCCATCCCACTCCCCCGAGATGGGGTCCTTACCGCCTCGGGGGATATAGTATAAGTGCAATCCTTACTGGATGCAGTGCCCGCGCAGTGGCCCATGAGCCGCGAGCGCGAGGCCGCTGGCTGGGCCCGCGCGCCACACCGACGGCACAATGAAATGGGTGGCTCCAGCAAGGGCGGATCTGATGCCCCCGATGCCCCCGAGCGCTAGTAGGCCCTGCGGGGCCTTGCGCGGGGAGGGGGACTTCAGCGATGACAGCAACATGCGCGGCCCAGGACTCACCGCCGCGGACCCCCCAGAGGTCCGAGCCCTCTTGCAGGGCGGAGGCCCATAAGGGCGGCCAGGGGAAGAAGGCCCGCTGGGGCCAGCGGCGGGGGGCGGGGCCAGGGGCCGAGGGGCCTTCGGGCGCAGCCCTCCAGAGGACCACCCCCCGTCCTGGCACGCGAATGGGGGGCAGGAGGGGGGGGGGCGGGCGCGGCCTCCTCGGGGCCTCGGGGGCGATCGGCCTTGGCCAGCCTACCCGCCACCTCCTCGGGGTCCGCGTCCCAGGTGCTCCTCCTTCGTTCTGAACTGTAGTGCGCGCTTAAACCCGAGAGACCGCTCAAGGCCCTCGTTTGCCAGGGGCGGCGGCTCCTCCTCGTCGGCGGCGGCCTCGGCAGGGCAAGCCGCCGCGCTGGCCTTGGGGGGGCCCTCGGCCCTCAAGGGGGCCCCTGCGGCGCCCGCGCCATCGGGGCCAGACGCAGCGAAGGGGCCCTCAGGCGAAACGCCCCCTCCCCCCCCCCAGGCCACAGAGGGCCGCCGCCTCGGCAACCCTGCGCGCGCCCCGCTTGGGGCTCGCAGCACCTTTGGCGGAGACCGCGAAGGCGGGGCAACGATCGCATGGCCCGCTGCTGCCCCCAGCGGCGGCGCAGGAGGCCCGCGCGGCGCCGCGGCGCGCGGTCGCGGTCGGGCAGCGCGGCGCCGTCGAAGACCACGCGCTTTCCCCGCTTGGCCGCCGCATCCGACAAGTTGCGCCTCCGCTCCCAAAGTGTCGCCTCTAGAGTGGCCCTTCACATGCGATGCGTGTATCGGCGCCTCCGCGTCGCCGTCCAGGGTCACGCCGCATGCTCATCAACGTAGCGGTCGATGCACGTCGAGAGATTCGCATCCTGGCGCCGAGGAGAAGTGCGCCGGCGTCTTCCACGAAGGAAGCCCACAAGCAGCGGCACGTGGTCGGTAAACATATGTTGTCGAGCCACTCCCGCCGTCAAGGCCTGCACTGCAGCGCTGCGCGCGGCTCAGCACGTCCTGAGGTTTGGCGAGGCCCTGGGAGAGGCCCAAAGGCGGCGCCAGAGCACCTGCCATCCCCCGTCACCGCGAAGCCCCAACCAGCACGGTCGGCCACGTCCCAGTGTAGAAACTTCCTGCGAAAAGCCGCCATTGAAGACAGACCCAGTCACTGTGCAGTGGTCCTCGGCCCTGGCACCGCGGTCGCAGCGCCAAGCGCCGCTATCGTTGCGAGGGGGATGGGCTGGCAAGAACGAGTTGGGATACAACCCGCGAGAATACAGCGCCAGATCACTGGGGGCCGCGTCGCGGGCAGCGGCCTAAATTGCACCCGCCACCGCGCGCCCGCGCAGGTCATCGAACGCAGGGCGCGGACAGCACCTGCGGTGCAGCGCGCCGCGCACACACACGTGCACACGCACGCGCACACGCCGCGGCAATTCGGGCAATCCTCGCCCTCGGCGCGCGCATACTGATGCAACCTTTTCTGAGAAATGGCCACCGAGCACTGCGGTCCGCAAAGCTGCCCTCGCCACGGGATCTAGCACCCAGCGCTTGGCCTTAAAGCCAGGATGCATTATGCCTCTGATCGGTGCCGACCTAGCGCCTGCAATATCCTTGTGCGACGGGCCAGGGGTCTCAGGCACGCCGCCGGGCCTTTGCGACCACTGCAGCCAGACGTGCGCTTCGTGGCCCTTGAGAACCATCCGCTTCGCCTGCGCTGAGCCCAGAACCTCGCCATTCCGAGCGCGCGCATTGAAGGCTGAGAAACGTTTCCACCCCGGCGTGAGCAACTAGCGAGCAAAAGGCACCCGCAGGGCCACTATCATACTTCCGGCTGGCATCCAAGGACGGTGAAGCAATTCAGGAACAACTGAATCCTCCATGCCAGCTGCATCGTAGCAAGGTCCACGCCACCGGCATGTATCATGGCCGCCCAGCTGTGGATAGGGCCAACGATGGCGATGGTAGCAGGCTGGCAGTCAGAAGCAGGATCCAGCCGCGAAGCTACCCAATGCGAGCAACCAAATGTAATGGCCTGACACCCATGTTTCACCAGAGAGGTCATGCGCTGGACAATGTGCGGGGTAGCTCCGACGATGCCAAAAAAAAACCGTGGTGGCAAGGCCTGCTTAGCTGCTGGAAGTGTCTGGGACGCTTGGCCACCTTGCGTGCGCGACGACGTAGGGCCAGGCCCGCGGTTTGCTTCCCAGCCCCGGCCTCCAGGCCCAGGACCTCGGGCCAGTCTGCGCCCGAGAACCTCATCGCCTCAACTCGAAAACGACCGCGGAGATCAGACGCCGCGAGCACGGTCTTGAACTCGGCGGCGGGCAACCCCAGGTCGAGGGGCGCGTCGCGCAAGAGCTGGATAGCCTCGCGCGCCCTGAGCGACAGAAGCTCTTTCCTGGCCATCACCTGCGACGTCAGATCATCAACGTGCGTGTGCAGAGACTAGGAAACGCCAGCGCCATGGCGCTGCTCAAGTAGCCGCGCCTCCTGCACACAAATGATGCATGTCCGACAACATCAGGAGCTGAACAATTGCCACGGCAAACTTGCAACCTGAAAGCGCCCCCTGCTGGACCACTACCGCATGCGACGTAGCCGGCAGCCGCGCCAGCCGCCGGGTGCGGTCGAGGCACTTCTCGACGTGCGCGATCGCGGCGCTGACGCGGTCGTCGGACGCGAGCGACGCCTCGGCCCGCTACGGGGCCCGAGCTGCCGCGCCCAGCGCGGTCTCGCCCGAGGCGCAACGGGCCGCCAACCACCCTTCGGCTTGGCCAGCAACGCGATGTAGAGAGCCATCATCTGCGTCGGCCACCGCCCCCAGTGCTCGACCTGCCACGGGAGGTACACCTGGAGCGCGATGGCGCCGTTCGTGAACAGACTGGTGACACAAGGGACAGGCGGTCATCTCCTTGTCCAGCGCGCCACCTGTGACTGAAAATACTTTTCGGCGCCTGGACAGACGAGTCTGCCCGGGCGCCGAAGTAGTGGCAGCGGCTGCAGCTGAGCCCGAAGTTCGTCGCCACCTGCTCGGGCGAGGCGCCCGGCGCGCCTGGTGCCGGGGGCCGCGGCAGGCCGAGCGGCAGCGGGGGCGCCCCGGGCCTGGCGCCGGCGGTAGACGACCTTGCCCGCTCTGCGGTCGGCGTCGGCCTTGGCGACGCCGTGGCGGGCGGTGAGCTCGTCCTCAGCGGCGCGCAGGAACGCCGAGTATAGAGACCGCCCAGCCACGCCTGCGCCTGGCGCGCCGTGGCCTCACCACCCAAGGCGACGTCGCACTCGATGGCGCGCCGCTGGTCCACGCCAGGATCCGCCGCCGCTTCGTCCTCAGGGACCGCCTTCGCGAAAGACTTGGGCCCGGCCGACGTCGGGGACTCGGCCGCCTTGGCGCGCGCGTTCAACTGCGTCGCCATCGGGAAGCGCGGATCCGCGGGCCAACCGCGCGCGGGGCGCGGCGGCGACAGCGAGCCCGAGATGGACAGGCTAGCCAGCCAGACGTCGATTTGGAATAGTTTCCCTGAGCACTGCGACGCGCGCCCACGTTCAGCCCGCTGCCAGGCCTTGCTGCGGCCCTTGCAAGACTGAAATCCAAGAAGCCGCCCTCATCCACGCGGGGCGGGTCGCAAGTCAAGTCGCCACCCATCGCGAGGGGCCTCTTCCATCCACGAGGCGCCATCGCAGTGTCGAACGGCCTGGAGGCAGTGTCGCCGGCAGCCCATTGGTCTACCTCGAAGCACGCAGACACCAATATCGAGCTACCTTTGATAACGAAGTCCGCGTGGCACGCCGCCGCGAAACTCGGCGCCGCATCAGAACTGCCTAGCCCAGGCAAGGTCGCCGATGTGCTGTCTGACGAAGATGCCCACGACAGCAGAAAACCTGCCCGAGCAGAGCTGCCTGCAAGGCGACAGCACCGCGGGCCAGCCTGCCCGCGCAGCCCGACCCTGCGCGCGACGGGCTCGTCGCCGTCCACGCGGAGCTCCTGGGCAGCCGCCGCGAGGACTTGCTGGTCGCAGTGCTCCAGGAAGCGGCGGCACGTGCTCCACGACGATCCGTTGAAAGTGACCGGGCCAACACTCCGCC